TATTTGGCTCTGTTTTAATCGATTATCACTCCAAATAATCGATTATTTCGATCTGTTTTTCATTTTAAATTTCAAATTAACCCTATTTTCGAAAACCCAATTACCAAGAACCCTAGTTTCGAAATCCCCAATTCCTAAACCCTAATTTCCCTACTTAAACTCTGCTTTGGCACTCGAAAAAGAAGAACAACTCTTTCCATACAAAAGTTAAGTGCTTGTGAGTGCCGAGAACTGTTTGTTGCAAGGAAAGGGGGCTTTTGGAACCTGGTGTGAGGCTAGAAGCGATAAGAATCACTAAGTGGAGTTCTTAGTGGATTGTGTGTTGTGCCGTCTCTAGGGAAAGTCTGTTCTTCATCTCTTGTGGATTTCAAGAGAGGTGTTTTCTCGATCTTTATCTCGTTCATTTGTAATCTGTTTGTAACAATTTGTTCTTAGTGACGGCGTTAATCCTCTTTTGAGTGATTAGCAACTGGACGTAGGGTCTTTTGATCCGAACCAGTATAAACCTACTGTGTAATCTTCTCTACTCTTCTCTATTTACATTTACACAGTTTTTAATCGGTAAAATTTGGGGAAAATTTTGAAAACCTAATTTTTATTAAGAAACCAATTCACCCCCCCCCCCTCTTGGTTTTTGTCCGACCACGCGAACATTCCGCTGCGCGATTCTAACATCCTGGACATCGATAACTTGCCCTCTTTAATTAATTGATCTACTTGGTATTTTAGCGTTTGGAATTCTTATGTGTCGTGTCCTTGAGCTCGATGAAACTCACACCACACATGATGTTTGAGACCTAGCTGTTTATGGATAACTAGCGGGAAATCAAGGAGTTTAGTTGTGATTGCTTCTTGCAAGAATTCTTTCTTTGACACGTCATGTGGGTTAGGTTGTTGGTATTGTCTGGTATTATGCTCCGTGATTTGTGGATTAGGAATTATGCATTTGTCATAGGGGTGGTAACTCCTTTGGCTATGCGACCCTTGCACATTTCGGGACCGAGAGGGTTTTACTGCATTATCTTGTTGCAACTCCAATTGTTCGGCCGCATGGCATCGGCAAATTGGTTGTTCGACTTCAATATGAGATGTGGCTCGGGCCCGAACTTGTTTCATTGTTTTGCACGGATGCCTATATAAAGATTCCATGAAAGGGTTCGACCTTAACCCTTTCATAAAAGCATCTACAAACATGGTTTCATTGGGAGGTAAGATCCTAACATTCATGCTACCAAATCGGTGCAAGAACGCCCTTAAGGATTCGTTTCGTCCTTGCCGCATATCAAACAAATCAATCGTCTTAGGGGCTCTTTGTTTATTAGCAACAAAATGAGCCACAAAAACTTTAGCCAAGTCATTGAAACTAGCTATTGACTGTTCAGGGAGACCACTGAACTAATCCAATGTAGTTCCCCATAAGGTACTAACAAAAACTTTACAATGTATGACATCAGACCCGCCGCTGATGATCATTTGGGCCCTGAAGGCCTTCAAATGTGCTAACGGGTCTTGGGTTCCCATAAATCGATCAATTTTAGGAGTAATGTAATGTGAAGGTAGAGGCTCGTCCATGATGGCCTGAATGAAAGGCTGAAAATCTTTCTCCACTATTTCTTCTTCATCGTCACTTGAGGTAGATCGGACCTGTTGCCCGATGGCTGCTTGCAACTCCTCATTCTGTCGTTGCAATTCATCCTGCACCTGAGATGCTTCTGTTGCCATACGTTATGCTTCTTCAGTCTGTCGGCGCAATTCCTCCATTTGTTCAAGAATTATTTGCATTGCCGAGTTGTTTGAGTCAACCCCATTAGGGTCTTGATTGTTGCGATTACTGGTACGAGTCACCATGGTCGTGCTCTCTATTTCCTCTGGAGTAGGAATAATTTTACCTGCCCCACGGTGGGCACCAATGTTCTGGAATAAAAGTGAGATAATCCTTTTTTCTAACCCACCCCCTTTTTATCTTTTTTCTCCTTCAACCGTGTAGTTTGTTTTTATTGTTTCCCCTATTATCAGCCCTAATACCGCCTAATTCTAACCACCCTGATAGGCTCGGGCCAATTAGGTAATGGTTTGTCTTCCTTTATGGACCTATTCGGTCCACTACCAATACTTAGAATTTGGACTCAACTGACCCAAACTCTATTTATGCACCACAACCACATAAACTTAAAAATTGATTTGTGATGTAATTGGTCAAATTCAACATAACAATCTCAATCTTGAATAATCAAACATCAATTAATTAAAGAAAAAAATTCAGATTAGAAAACAAACCCTAGAAACTTAGAAAGCCATTAATGTGCAGTAAAAACAGTAAAGGAATTGTAAATTGCAAAAATTAAAGAAAAGTGATTAAGGAAAGAAGACAAATATAATCTAAAGCATTATTGAATTGAAGACTTAAAATTTGTACGTAACTTGAAAATAGAAGAACTTGAAAAGTCTACACTAGTTACTAGAAAGAAAGAAAGTTAGAAAAACTAGAGAAAAATTCTAAACACTAAAATTTCAAGATAGGTTGTATTTTGGTTTTCCCAAGCCTATTTATACAACAACAAAGCCTACAAAATATGCAAGACTCATACAAGATCTATAAACAATAAATTAGAGAAATTAGAACTTGGTTTGTCAATTATGTAGAATTCTGGTTTGAAACATTTCGTTGAGCATTTTCCATTTTGTTGGGTGAAATTGTTAGTTTAAGTTGGATGAATCAAGTTCGATACTTTCATGCAATGAAATTCTTCTTCTTGAGCAGATTGACAATTTTAAGAATGAGCTTTTTATGAATAACTCACTAAGCATATGATTGTTTCGTTGGGTGAAATTCTTAATTCAAAACTTCTTTTTCTTTTTAATTTATCATTCTTAAGTATAAATGGCACATTATCCTCATGTTCATATTGAATGCACTAATTATTCTATGTTACATAAAGTGTAACCAACTTTTTGAAAGTCCTCTTACCCGTATTGATTTACTTTAAATTGATTTTAATGGATGATGACTCAAACTTTTACTTTTTGTTTTTATGTTTCAATTTATGAAAGGTTCTTTTAGCCTCTTTACGAAATTCTAATGTTTTTGTCAATGTGAGATCTAAGCATTCAATGACAAAAATCAAAAGAAAAAAACAAAAACTAATAGAAAAAACAAAAACAATAGCCACTTAGACTAATTTCGCTACGTGGGTTTTAGTTGTTGAGTGAAACACTAATTTTTAGATGAATTTTTTGAGTGCAACCAAAATTGTTAGGTGAAATTGGACTAGAGAACACAAAAGTTAAACAATAAAAAACTTATGAGCTAATATGTCCTCATTAAGTGAAAATAACAAAAATTTAAAAATGGTAAGAAATTTAATAAGCGAACTTCAATTTCACTAAGCAAAAATTGGATAATGCTAAAGCATAATAAGAAAACAATACAAAAACACTAATGAACTGAGCGCATGGATTGATATTTGAGCGAATCAGTGAAAGTAAGCACAAAATTTAGGATTTCCAGTTTATAACAAAAAAATAAAAATAAAAAACAACAATTATGTATAACAACTCTTTTCCAATGAAAAAATAAGGTCTAAAATAACACCATTATCCCAACAATAACTCCATGTTTATCAAACCCATTTTGTCACCTAAATGTGATAAAAGAAACAATTAAGTACAAGAAAAAACATGTAGCTGTTAGGGGAAAACTATACCATATTCTCAAGGCTTATTGATAAATTATAGTAGATCTAGTTTTCAATTGTAAAAGAGTTATCAAAGGTGGATTTTTATGATATTGATGTTTTAGAACTAATTCAAAGTAATAAAGCTAAAGATTTAATTGAAAACAATAAAGTAATGTAATAAAATTGAAAAAAAATCTATAAAAAATAGTAGTCAATTCTCTAATCATCATCTTGATCTATTGATTATCATTAATTTCTAAACCTGAATATATCCACAAGATAGATCCATAAGAATTAATCAATCATAATATAATTAATTAGTTAGATCTATTTCATTCATTGAATTCATTTTGTTTAGAGACACAACTAAACTCTTAAGAGAAGCAACTACATAAACCTAGAAAATGATTGTAATGAATTATGAATGATTAAAATTTTGAAGAATCAAATCTCATTCAATGAAAACAAAATTTAGATCGAAAAAACTAATCCTAAAAATTTAGAAAGTCATTAAAAATGTAGTAGAAAACTATTAGTGAAAGTAAATTGTAGAAATTTAAGGAACACAATAAAAAGGAAGGATGCAACTATGGTATAAAGTATCGTGGAATTGAAAAAATTTAAAGAAGAATTTAAAAACTTTAAATAAAGAACTTGAAAGGTCTACACTAAAAGCTAGACAGAAAACTAGACAAAATCTAAAGATAAATTTGGAAATTGAATATTACATGAAGATAGGTTATGTTTTTTGGTTTTTAAAGCTTTTTTTATAGAACAACCAGGACTATTAAACAATAAATTGGAGGATATAGAACTTAATTTGCCAATTTTACAAAAGTTAGTATGTAACATCTTGCCGAGCGAAATAATTAATGAAGTTAGTTGAATATTTTCATTGCACGAAATTAATCTTGAAGGCATTAGCAAAATCAAGAATATGGTTTTTTTAATACTTTACCAAGTAAATTCTTTTAATTCAAAACTCATAATTTTTTTAATTTAAATCAATGTATAAATATTTAATAAAATACACAAATTAATTAATAAATTGACTACATCCATTCAATTCTATTTTACTAAAACTAAGTTAATAATATATAATTAAATAATAAAATGATATATTTATGTGAAAAATAGATTAATAAAAATATTGGTAAAATATAAAAAAAAATGAAAAAAAAAACTTGTTCGGGTTTAAAAAATGAAAAATGTATTAATGCTTGTCAAATTAGTGATATACAACTCTTTATTTTATTCATAATATAAAATAATGTCAAATCAAATTACTATATAACAAATGTAAAACTCGTGTAAAAAGTTTAGACCGGGAAGTGATGAATGCATTCTCCCATGGTCCCTCCATTTTGATCTCTATGTCTACCCCAATAAAGAGAGGCGTAGTTGTGCAAAATTGTCGGTCTTATGTGTTATTAAGTGCCATGGAATTGTTTCTACTCAAAATTGTGGTCACATATGAGTTGTCTATGTAAAATCATTTTATTATACAAAATATTTATGAGTTTTTCTGATAAATAATTTAATAAAAAAATAACTAATTAATCTCTTATCTAATCATATTTTTTTATAGAAGGTATAAAGTTTCTTTGGATTTTGTTTCTATCAAATAAAAAAATAGTAAACAATTTAAAAACATTTTTATTTTGAATTTAAACCGTTTTAGTGAATCAAATATGAAAATATTATATATATATATATATATATAGGCATTTTTCATAACTAAAATGTTTGTAAAATGTTTATTTAATACATTTTCATACTTACAATTATTCATATATCCTTTGAATCAAGTAATGAGTGCGTTACTTTTTGGATTTTTCTCAACACAAAGTAAAATCACGTGTTTCTGTCTTTGAATTTAGTTATTATGAGGAAGTTGAACACATTAAAAGAACCATGTGTACCTCATGTGACAACTTGATGTTACTTAGAAATATTCTCTTAACATATTACTTGTTTGGATTTCACTATGTAAGGTATGACAACTTGATGTCTTGATGTTACTAGAAATAATCTATTAACATAGTACTTGTTTGGATCTCACTGACAACTTGATGCCTTCACTAGTACAAAAAACACATTTAACATCGGTTCTCAGCAGCTTTCTACATCGGTTCTACAACCGATGTAGATACAACCGATGTAGAAACTTGGTGAGTTTTAACATCGGTTAAGAACCGATGTAGAAAGTCTGACTTTCTACATCGGTTCTAGCCATAACCGATGTGGAAAATCAGACTTTCTACATCGGTTATGGCCTAGAATGATGTAGAAAGTGTAAAAATGACTTTCTACATCGGTTCTAGGCCATAACCGATGTGGAAAGTCATATTTTTTTTTAAATACGAATTTTAGTTTTTGATTTTTCAGAACCTGTACAATATTTTAAATATTTACAGCTACTCAGAACGCTAATCTATAAAGGACATGCATCAACAAGTAAACATAATGTATATTACATAATAACAAACAGTGAACATGTATTGTATTCTAAGTTTATATATACAAAGAAAATAGTCCTAATGTTTCACAATTAAGTACTCAATCACGACTATAGTTCTTAATAACAAAATCTGCCCAAAGTCGTCTAATGTCATCAATCTCTGCTTCACTTATTGGATGACCATCTTTGAATATCTACAAACAATAAAAAAAACATTTCAAATAAGCACAAGTAGGCATATATATGTCAATGACATAGATATAGTCATAACACATACCAAATTCCATGAATCTGTGATATTTGCTGTGATGATTGTTAACATATGTCTCATCACATAATATCCGCACTCCCAACTTCCTTTCTGCTTATTACACTATAAGAAAAATCAGAAAAAAAAAACATTAAATATAGAAAATGAATAAATTAAAGTTAAGAATTTGAAAGATAACGTCCTTACACGTGGAAGTATCCATGTGGGTTTCTTTTTAGGCTTACCCTCCATGATCGAGCATGCTTCTATACACCTATAAAAGATTAAATGGAAATACTTCATATTAAGACATGTGGAACTTAAAATGAAATGAATGAAATATTATACAAGGGTGTTAGTATACTTACACATCATCTTAAACAATTGAATGTTGTCTGGATCGGGATGATTACATCTTAGTTAAATGCTTTAAGTGTATCAGTCCAATAATTATCATATAGTCTTATGAATATAAAAAGTAAAATTTGGATACTATTTAGCTCAAAGGAGTGAAGCACAGATCTTTACAGTTATTAAATCTGTCGTGAACCAGACCTAGAGTATTTAGTCAAAAAGACAGATTGATATACAAGGGTGTTAGTATACTTACAGATCAATAATCTGTTTAATTTCCTTTTTGGGTTTATTCCATAAGGAGCATAACAAAATAACCTCATTTCGTTTAGGACAAAGGATAAGCAGTTGTCAGTAAGACCTACAAAAAATGTCACTCAATTAGCAATTCTTAAGAGATTCAAAGTTTGAGAGTAAGTAATTTAAAAAAACTTACCCATAATGATATGGTGCGAGATAAACTTCTTTTGATCCTTCACAAAATCTCTTTTGAATGTATGCTTGAATAGTATTTGGTTTGTTCCCCACACTCTGATTGTGGACAGGATCAATGAATCCATAGACATCTACTACTCCCTTTTCCACAACAGCTTTGTTGAGGTAACTAGAAATTGAAAATATCATGTTAATTGCATTTTAGACAAGTTGGTATCTAATACGGCATACAACCAATTGACTTAAATAAAAACATAAGACTTACATTAACCAGACTTGGAGAATTGTGATGCAAATCATGTCTTCACTCAAAACAACATCCATCATGTCCTTCTGACTCAAGTACAACGTGATGGGCTGCGGATTCCCAATCACATGAGGACATGCCAAATCCACTTAGTGTAACTCTTGCAAAATCCATCACAAAGGACATGCTCTCTTATATCCTTCACACTTAGTTGTCTTAAATTTAAGCACTTCACACAAGGACAATAAAAGAGACCTCTATTGTTACCCACATTTCTCTGTGCAAACTCTAAGAACTCTTCAACCCCTAATTCATATTCTTCTTCTATACGTTTGGCATTTATCCAACTCCGATCCATATCTATAGGTACATGACGTCTTTGCTTAGTGTGAAAATGGAATTACCTCTATTCAGAGGCAACAAACTTAAACAACTCAAACTCTAATCCAAACTCAAATAGTACTGGAACAACAGTAAAACTCCAGGAACAAAACAAACAACACAAGGAACAAACCTAAATCAACAACATAAGAAACAAACCCAAATGAAAAACAAGAGAACCAAATATAATCAATACCCTAAAGCCCTACACCCTAGCGTGGAAACCCATAGCCTTAACCAGAGCGACATCAACCAACCCAACAGGGCTTGGATAACACCAATCTCAACCCCACGAGAATAACCAAGTGAAAATCACATATTCAAGTCAAACTAAACGGAAATAATAATACAAAACCCAGAATAAACATGTCTACATACATTAAACCCAGGCAGAATCAGTCCACGACCAAACAAAACAATCCAGAATCAAGGAAAATGCATAAAGGTAATTGACAAAACAAGGATGAAGAAGCCAATAGGATAGACCCACGGCCCTGGTCCGAATCACCTCTGGTTCGCGACGAGATCGAAGGTGCGCAGGTGCAATGAGGAGGAGCTCCTAGAGGGTTTCAGAGAGGTGAAGACGAGGGTGGCGCGTCGCAGTTCTTGGTGCGCGTCGCAGTTCCTGGTGCGCGTCGCAGTTCTTGGTGCACGGCAAGGGTGGTTTTCGCTTGGGGATTCGATTGGGGAAACGGAGGTTAGGGATTCGATTGGCGAAGGAGATGGGAGAGACGGTGGTTTTCGCTACTGCGATGGGGGCAAGGAGTAGGCGAAGAAGGTTTTGGTGTAGTGAAGGTTCACGAGAATGAATTTGGTAATGGCTAGGAGCAAGGGAAGAATTCCAGAGGGAGTCGAGTCTGTAATTGGGTCTGGGAGTCGAGTCTTTAAGGGCCTAGGAGTCGAGTCTGTAAGGACTTGGGAGACGCTGTCTAAAATTTTTATTATTATTTTTTTAAATAAAAAGACTTTCCACATCTGTTCATGGGGGAACCGATGTAGAAAGTAAAATTGTATATCAGATGACCGATCAGAATGACTTTATGACCGATCAGAACTGGATATGATCGATCAGAATGAGTTTATGACCGATCAGAATTATTTTAAATCAGGGTAGAAGTACTTTCCACATCGGTTCATGGGGGAATCGATGTAGAAAGTAAAATGGTATATCAGATGACCGATCAGAATGACTTTATGACCGATCAGAACTGGATATGATCGATCAGAATGAGTTTATGACCGATCAGAATTATTTTACATCAGAGTAGAAAGTACTTTCCACATCGGTTCATGGGGGAACCGATATAGAAAGTACTTTCTACATCGGTTCCCATCCGAACCGATGTGGAAAGTCTTAAAAAAATTTCTATATTGGTTATTTAACAACCGATGTAAAAAGTCCGATGTTAAAAGGGTTTTTTGTACTAGTGCTTGATGTTACTTGAAATAATTACTTAACAGAGTACTATGTGAAGTATAAAAAAGAAAACGAGAAAGTGAATTATAGAGAAAGATACAATTTAAATTTGATAATTTAAGATGATTGAGGTCGAAAGTGTGGTAAACTCTATATACAATTTGATTCAAAATAGAAGAGATCTATAAGTGATATTTGATATTTGAGTAGCACAAAAGAAGAGATCTATAAATGTTTTGAATGTATTTATTACCTCATTAATTATTATTTATTATAAAGAATAAATAAATATAATTGATTTACAAAAATAATTTATCATGCCTTATTATATAATTATTAATTATGTAATGAGACATAATCAATCATATATTTTGACATAACCCATTCCGCTTCAATTGTGTAAGGTGTAAAATACAAATTAATTATTTTTTAACTACTTAATACTTTAAATTTATTACTAAAATAAATACAAATTCTCCTATTTATATTAAAAATAATAATACCATAAGATACATAAAAAAAAATTAATTATTAATATTATTATTAAAATAAATTTATTAAAACGTTATTTAATTAGACATAATATTTATAATATTATGATTATTATATTAATTATTTATTTATAATCACTACTACGAGAAAACACTTTCTACGACGACATACAACGTCGGCTATCACGAACACCGACGTTGTACAAGACGCGGTGGCAAACTTGTAATTATGAGGCAAAATTTAACGTCGGTTACATAATAACCGACGTAGTAACTGCAATTCAACGTCGGTTATATTATAACCGATGTTGATTTTGGAAATTCAACGTTGGTTATATTATAACCGACGTTAAATGTTTAAATTTAACGTCGGTTATGTATAACCGACGTTGAATTCCCAAAATCAACGTCGGTTATATGATTTACCCGACGTCGAAGCGTTATCCACGTCGGG